CAAATTTTACATTTGGCAGCTGGCAAACTGAGGTTGCGTACTGGGAGATTTATAAATCGGCTTTCAACAGGTACTACAGTGAGATCAAGAAGGCCAAAATATCATAATTGGGGGGCTTCGCTGAGTCTATAGAAGAAGAAGTCAATGAAGCTTCTAGATTTCGTAAAGTTCTTTCAAAGGACCCCAAATCCATTAGCTGTATAAAACGAAATGATGGAAGCTGGACTGTCTCTTGTATATAGACTATTAGAATCTGTTAGACAGCACTCACTTTCCAAACTGCGCAGATGTGAGAAATGAACGATCGACAGAGCGACGTGATCAGCACTGTGAGGCAGAGGGGATGAGTCTGATTGATAGGATTGTGAGAACCTCCAAAATCCCGGATCGGACGGCATAATTCCCGCCATGTTACAGCATGCATCGGCGGTAATAGTACCAACGCTGCAAGTGATTTTTAAGGCTTGTCTGCATTTCTCTCACACTCCATCACTCTATAGGGCAGTTACAACGATACATGTTCCCAAGGCGGGGAAACCCCGTCACGTACTTCCAAAAGACTACAGGCCTATCAGTTCTTCGTTCTTTCTACTGAAAACTCTGGAGAGATTAATAGATATTGAGATCAGATCTCTATTACCTTTGACTTCGATAAGCACTGCTCAACATACCTGTATAAAAGGAAAATCTGTTGAAATGTCACACTTGAGGCAATTTATGGTTCCCTTTCAAAACCTAGTTTACTACCACTCTTAATTCAATGGATAAATGTTATGCTCAGTAGCAGTAGCAGCAGAATCATCAACTCATGCTTCGGGGAGGGATCTGTCAGAAAATCGGTTACTGGAAACACCCCACAAAGAGGGGTTTTATCGCCATTGCTCTGGCTTTTGATGATAAACGTCATACTAAAAATCTGGAGCTTGACGGAACAAAAATGGTGACTTACGCTGACGACGCTGATTGTGCGTAAATTCCTGCAAACTGTTTCAGATCTCATGCAGGGACGACACAACGGTCTAGGCGTAAACCCATCTAAAGCTGAGTTCGTACTTTTTACAAGAAAACGGAAAACTCCCAAATTTTCGCTACCTATGCTGGATGGAGTTAGGTTAAGCCTATCAACGGAAGCTAAGAACCTCGGTACCATCCTTGACAAAAAACAACTAAATTAGAAAAGGTATATCGAGGAGCGAGCGAAGAGAGATTTAATCGCACTCTACTCTTACAGAAACTCCATGGGGAAGAGCTGGGGCTTAAGCCACATATAATCAAATTGATATATGAATCAATAGTTCGGCCAATTCTAACTTACGGAGCGCTAGTATGATGGCAATTTTTATTTAAAACTACCTTCAACAAAAGCATTGATAAAGTGAAAAGAGGAACATCCTTACTAATTGCGGGTGCGTTTAAGAGCCTACTACCCTACTCAACTTAAATCTTTTAAGTCTCTTTGTAGAGGAACAAGCTGGTAGATGTGCCATGCGGCTCAATTACTAGGTCAAAAGCGGAGTCCGTACTTCGGACTCTCTGTCATTCTTATGTATGTGGAGAACATTGGAGGTCGGCAATAAAAAGTGTTTATATGTAACATAGGCAAAGTTTCGAATCACTGGACATCCATATACCTATACTGGACACCTGGACTCACCTTCTAACGGTATAACCGTCTATACCGATGGTTTAAAGATGGAAAGTGGACGCGATCCTTTAATTTAAACAACGACCGCAGCCTTTTAAGGCAGAAATCTTTGCTACTGGGAACACCATTTAGCTGTCGGTAAGGACCTTAATTCTTTTACAAGCAAACCTATGACTGTTGTGGAATGCAGAAATGCTCTGGTAAAGTTTAAATCGTTGGTAAAACTTTGTTGGAAACATATCTGGCAATGAATTGGCCTGACACGGATCTGAGTCAGTAGATTTAGAGATCGACAGCTCAGTGAAGTCTCCGTTATGCCACTCCTTCCAAGTTTTAAATAAGCACCATTAAACACTCTTAACTGGTTGAGTGGATGTAATTACGGGATACTGTAACATAAAGGTCATGACTTCAAAGGGGGGGAGTGATGTCGATGACAAGGAGGAACTCGAGATGGTGGAGCACTCTCTCCATGGAGTTAGTCAGAGGCTACTGGATACTCTTTCGCTTATGTACAAGATGTCTACAAAATGTGATAAATAAATTTTTGTACTACATTCGTTAATCATTCCAAATTTCATTGGAATCAAACATACATATAGTGTGTGGTGCATCAAATACATGAAATAGGCCGAAAATATTTATGGGAGCTATATATAGTTATAACTCAATCTGAAGCGATTTCAATAAACTGTAATAAATTATTCTTTGCACCAAATTCCGTAACTTTTTTTATTTTTTATTTTAAGTTATTGCATTATTTTTACAAAATAATCAGAGGTGGTGTTCCTAGGTTTCTGGCTAACATGTTCACGTTTTCCAGGTCAACTAGGTGTACTCAGATATTAATACCCAGAATACATTACTTAACATATGAAAAGTCTTTTATTGTACGTATTGCACGTTTGTGGAATTATCTACCTATTGACCTTAGAATTATTTCCCATTCTAATAATGCCTTTCATTTGAAAGTATGGAATAATGTCCTTTATTATGGTATTTATCTCAATTAGTTTTATTTTTGTTGTGTTGAGCTTTTATTATATTCATTTTACTCTTTTTTTAATGGTTTATTTTTTTGTTATTAAAATTAGTACAATATAATCTACGAATAATAGCAAAAACTCTTCTCCGAACGGAATCAATACGAGTCTCATCTACCAAAATACCCAACATTCTACTACAGCTTACAAAACTAATTAGATTACCATCGAGGGCAATATTTAGATTATATGCATGACTGCCAAACTTAATGTCCTTTGTCTTTGATTCAATAGCAGAGAATTTTCAAAACACCACTGTCCAACATAAATAAGACAATTATTAATTTCACTTTCAAAAGCGATAGGATTAATATTAGAATTTTGTAAAAACGAGAAAAACATCATCCGCATATAAGAGAGGAGTGCAATTTACACCGTAACAACACTCAGAGAGGCTATTGACAAATGAAATGAAAAACAATGGGCCTAATACAGAGCCCTGCGGAACACCACACGAAAGCAATGCCACACTTGAAGATCTACCATTGTAATAAACGAATTGGGATCTACGAACAAATATGATAGAATAAAGTTACAAGCTGCCTCAGAAAAATCGAACTCATACATCAGTTTACTGAGTAATATATGATGAGAATGAGAATCAAATGACCTTGTTAAATCCAAGGAAGCAATGACAGTATCCTTTTTAAGACTAGAATTAGATCTCACTAACTTAGTTAAGTAAAGAAGAAAACTGTTGGTATGATTCCTACGGAAAGCAAATTGATCGTTATATATTTTGCTTGGAATATGAGCAAGTATTTGGTCCTTCATAACATGCTCACACACCTTAGCCATCAAAGGGAGAACTGATATAGGCCTGAAATTATCAGGGCCATAAACAATATTCCTCTTTGGAATTGGAACGATGAGGGTTTGCTTCCACAAACAAGGAAACACAGACGACACCAAAACAGAATTGGGCAAATCCAAAACAATATCACACACTTATGGAAAGATGCATTTCAAAAAATCCACAGGTATTCTATAAACTCCGACAGATTTAGACTTTATTTTGTTTAGTGCAATAATAGTTTCTTCCATACGAACACAACTAAAAGAAAATCCTTCAAGGCATGCGTTAAACAATTGCAAATCAATATTAGGCATATGTGAGTTCCTATATTGAAAAAGAAAAATAGTTTATATCATCAACATCAATGACAAGAGACACATCATGACCACAAATACAACCCGAAGCAGTTGAACCCAACGTATTAAATTTCTTCGAGTAACACCTTCTACGCTCACGACGAATAACTAACTTCGCTCTATTACGATAGCTTTAAAAGCCAAATCGCGAAGTGATCGAGCAAGTGTAATGTAATTTGAACTAATCCGATTATCATAAGATCGCATTTTTCTATGCACCAAAGGAATAAAATTAAACAACCCCAAAAAAAGATTTGATATTAGGAGCATTTAGCTTCATTTAGCTCTAGAGTATCGACGGTCATTCCTCACAAATTTATACCCAGGTACATTTATTGCACTAGTTGGAATATCATATTTCAGTCAAGTTCAGATATATCAAGAAAATTCAAGGCTGATCCCGATAAAATAGTTTTGGGATCACAAAACTCGTTGAATTCATAGATGACCTAATACTGCGAGAGTTTATATGAGCTATATTGAACTTATTACTACAAGAAACATAAATAGATTTAAGATAATCATTGTACATTGTACATCAAATACATAAGACGTAGTTTTGGTGGGGAACCAATTATAAGAATTCAACAAAATGACACTAATAAAATTTAATTTCAGAAAATTCATAAAGAAAAATAAATAAAATTTTAACGCAGCGGAATACTACAAAATATATTAAAAAAAATAAATCAAACGGTCAAACACAAAAACAGGATAAGAAAATGAATGGAATTGAAAGCAATTAAATTAATCAAAAATTAAAATAATATAATATAATAATAAAAATCCAAAGAAATTTTAATTAGAACAAGTAAAAAAGCAGTAAGTTCGGCCGGGCCGAACTTTGAATACCCTCCACCATTTGGAACGAATTAGAAAATTTTCAAAAAATTAAATCCAATAAAAATTAATTTAAAATCCTTAAAATATCTAATATAGGAAGGTGCCGATATATGGGGGATATACGATATTGTGGACCTTTAAAGACAAATCTATGTCTGCGTGTAAAGTACTTGTTTTTGACTTTACCTTTAACCTTTTTGTATAATTTATTGGATTGGATTTGTAATTTTATTTCATGTGTTGTTTTATTGGTATTCAATTCTTTGTTGTTTGTGTGTATGTACAATTGTTTCATTCGTTTAATGTATAATTTCACTGGGCACTTGTCGATGATTTTCGCGGGCACTTGTCGCTTCACGGGGCACTCGATGATTTTTATGTTGTCGCTCTCAAGATGGTTGACGAACTGTCCGGGAATATTCTGGCTTTGGGCTGCCAGAGCTGTTGAATATTCCAGGATTTATTGGAAAGTGCTTGGCTAGCGGCAGCACGTATGCATGTATTTGTTAATATGCACCAATGTACATATTGTGTACCGCTAGCCGAAAAATTTAAAATTCAAACGCACAGTAGCGACCAAAAGTATGGTCACTGACCATACATTCTCCGCCCCCATGACTCCGTGCTAATATGCGTCTTTTCACATCGATGGCATGTTCCTAATTGGTCCAGCGAAGACATATCCCAGGTTAGTGTTGTACGCCTGAACATCACCCACTCCAGCCGCGGTACATCCATCTTTTCTTATGGCAGAATACGTGTCTGCGCCTAATTCCAAGTCTATGGGTACATTGCTTCTAGGGTCTGGGTCCGCAAGTGCTTGCTGTGTAAAATATGAGGTTGGGTCATCTAGTATGGGGTCTGAATAAATTCGTCTCGGCAGCTCATCTGTCACAAGAGCATTGACCTTCAGCGCCCATGTTGAATTAGATCGCCGGCTCATTATTTTGAAGGTCGTAAATCGACGATCTTGGTATAAAAATGACCTCAGACCCATCCGTTGGAAGGTAGAGTACCCTATGCGGGACATTACAGCTGACTTACTCAGCAACGCCCGTATCGTATAGTGGGTGTCTATATCTTCGGTGGTAACTCGCAGCATGACAGTGGGTACAAAGACGAGATCCCACGAAAAAGGCGGCTCGTTTATTTGAGCGGGCTGTAGGCTATCCTCGAGCTGTGGCGCCCCATGTAGCATGGTGTGGTGTCTATAATCGCATCGTCGGCAACCCGTAATGCATGGACAATCGGGGGCCAAATGCGATCGTGCCAGACAGTTTCGACAGTATCCCCGCCGCTCAGTGGTTTCGTATCTCTGATACGGAGTTTGGTCTTTAAACCGCTGGCACGAGCTCAGAGCATGGTCCTGCTGACACAGTCCGCAGGAGTATTGCCAATGGCCTGGCCGTGCTCCTCTAGCTCTGGGGGCTGGTCTATTTTCAGAACGGCTACGGTGACTGCGATCAGGACTCGGGCGGCGTTCGAAGTGTCGGGCTGGGTTGCTTCTATTGGGTACTGGTGCTGGTTCGCGGGCTGGGTGGGCTTCTGGTGGATGTGGGTTGCGGTCGGGGCGTTGCGGGCTTCTTTCTGCAATTAAGCGACGGGATTCTCTCCTTTCAGGGCGTCTTGGGCTCTCTTCGTCTCTCCAATTCTGGACTGGTAAATATGCTGCCATCTGTGAAAAAGAGAAGAAGGAGTACTAATTCTTTTGAAAGGAGGGGTCCGACTAATTAGTCGGAAAATAACTTGACAACCTTCGTTATGGGTCGGCTGATGTTGCCACCAGCAGTTTTTATGTCTACTACTCTAACATTTTGATCTGTTCCCTGATGGGTCTTGATAATTCTCCCGAGTTTCCACTCATTTGGTGCCAAACGTTCGTCTTTAATCACAACTAAGTCACCTTCTTTAAGGTTATCCTTTTGATATTTCCATTTCGTACGTCGATGAAGCTCATGTAAATATTCAACCTTCCATCGATTACACAAATATTGGGAGATTATTTTTAACCTTTTCCATCTATTAACCAGACTAATATCTTCATCAGAAACGTCGGGTTCGGGCGGAGCTAAAATCGCGGTACCGATTAAGAAATGACCTGGGGTTAAAGGCGCCAAATCGTTAGGATCTTCGCTAGCTGGACTCAAGGGTCTAGAGTTAAGACATGCCTCTATGCGGGTTAAAATTGTAGTGAATTCTTCGAAAGTAAAGTTCATTTTTGGCATGCTTTTTCTTAAATGATTTTTAAAGGATTTAACCCCTGCCTCCCACAAGCCACCCATGTGCGGAGCGCCAGGCGGGATAAATTTCCAACTAATATTTTGATGAAAATTGTTTTGAACTGTACTATTTTGTATATTTTTCATGAAGGCTAGTCGATCCCGCTTTAACAGATCAACTGCTCCCACAAAATTGGTCCCGTTATCGGAGTAGATACACGACGGACAGCCCCGTCGGCTAATAAATCTAGAAAAAGCGGCAAGAAAGGCATATGTCGACAAGTCACTTGTGGGTTCCAAATGAATGGCTTTGGTAGCGAAGCAAACAAACAAACAGACATAACCTCTCGTAATGAAGCAGGCTCTGCCAGAATAACTTTTAATATTGAAGGGTCCCGCAAAATCTACGCCTGTATTCATAAAGGGTCTTGCCAAGAGAGTTCGTTCAGGAGGTAGTGATGCCATTATTTGATTCTGTGTGCGTTTCTTGTAAATTAAGCATATTTTGCAATTATGTATTGTTTGTTTAACCAACGATTTTAGTCCGAATATCCAGAACTCGGACCTTAATAATCTGGTCACCAACTGATTACCGCCGTGCAATGTGATCTTGTGAGCAAAATCTACTAATAGTTTGCTTAATATTGCTCCATGTGGGAGTATTATTGGATGCCGTTCATTGTAAGTTAGCGCAGGCGATTGTACTAATCGGCCATTAGATCTCATGATCCCTTTTGAGTCCAAAAAAGGATTGAGTGTCAGTAATGAACTAGAAGACGATATTCGAACTTTCCTTCCAAGTGATTCATAGTCGGCTGCGTAAAAGAATTTCTGGGTATGAATTATGCAAGCACGTTTACCATCCTGAATTTCTTCTGCGGTGAGTTCCATTGAAGAGGTTCTAAGATTTCGTCTATTTATTCCAGTGTTTTTCCAAAATCTTAACGCATATGCATATGATCTGTAAACCCTTGTCAAAGATGAGTAATTTTTTAGAGGGTCACTTTCTTCTTCGAATAGAGTCAGTGCTTTTAGTGTTTTTGCTTCTAAGTTTGTATCATCGGGAATTTTATGTGCTGGCCAACGAACTTTAGGAATTTTGAGCCATTGCGGTCCATGCCACCAGAGTGTGTTGTTTATAAGTTCGCTTGGTGGGCATCCGCGACTGGCAATGTCTGCGGGGTTATCCTCAGAGTCTACGTGATTCCATTGTTCGGCTCCACTATTTTCTAAGATATCAGATGTACGATTTCCCACAAAGGCTGACCAATGGCAAGGTGGTTTTTTCAACCAAGCCAGCACGATTGTTGAGTCTGTCCAGTAATGAACCGAAAAGTTTGATATCTGGAGATTGTTCAATATTGTTGATGCTAACTTCGCCAATAGGACGGCTCCACAAAGTTCTAATCTGGGAAGTGAAATTTTTTTGATTGGAGCAACTCTTGTTTTTGCAGTAAGCAATGACGTTTTGATTTCGTTGTCTTCATTCTGTAGTCGGATATATAATGCTGCTGCATATGCTTTTTCCGAGGCATCGCAGAATCCATGAATTTCTACAACACTATTTTTGGAGTAATTTATCCACCTTGGGACTTTTAAATGCTTAATATCTGCGCTATGTTTAACAAAGTTTTGCCAGTTCAGAAGTGTCATTGTTTTCAGAGTGTCATCCCAGTTTATCTTATTAAGCCAAATTTGTTGCATAACTAGTTTGGCGGTTACTACAACGGGAGCAAGCCACCCACATGGGTCGAATAATTTGGCAATTGTTGAGAGAACTTCCCTTTTTGTATAAGCTCTTTTAATGTCCATTGAGGGTGGAGTGAAATTGAAAAAGTCTCCAGCAATGTTCCAACGTATTCCAAGTGTTTTTGTCGAGGCGTCATCGGAAATATCCAGAGAATTCACTGGGCTAAGCTTTTCTTTGGGCAGGTCATTTATTAATTTTGGATCATTAGCAGTCCACTTCATTAGCTCAAATCCAGCGGATTCCATAGCAGCTGCTAATTCCTTGCGAGATTTTATGGTCTCTTCGATCGAATGACCTCCCGCTAAGACATCATCAACATAAAGGTTTTCCAAAATTACTTTCGATGCTAGTGGATAAGTGTCTTTTATGTCTTCAGCTAATTGAATGAGAGTTCGAAGAGCCAGGAAAGGTGCACAATTAACCCCAAATGTTACCGTTAACAATTCATAATCTTGTATAGGGTCAGACGAAGATTTTCTGAATAATATTCGTTGAAACTTTGTTTGACTAGGGTCCAATAAAATTTGCCTGTACATCTTTGTAACGTCAGCATTATAAACGTGTCTGAAAAATCTCCACTTTAGTACTTGTAATACAATATCTTGCTGTAAAACCGGACCTGCATATAGGTTGTCATTGAGACTTCGCTTGTTTGACGTTGGACTTGATGCATTGAAAACAACTCGTAATTTTGATGTAATCTTTTCAGGTCTTATGACTGCGTGGTGTGGCAGATAATAGTTTGGAGTCTTGTTTATGTCATTTGAAGATATTTTTCTCATATGCCCGAGTTCTAGATATTCAAGGATCGTGCTATCGTATAATTCCTTTATCTCCGGACTTTTCATAAGCTTTCTTTCCATTCTATAAAATTGGGCTAAAGCTATATTTCTTGATTCTCCAATTTCTTCGCATTTTTTGAATGGGAGGGTCACAATATATCGCCCTTCCGAATTCCTTTTGGTAGTTTTCAAGTAATTTTGTTCACATAATACGTCTTCATCTGATCTCAAAACCTGTTTTGGGGTCTCTTCCACCTCCCAAAAACGTGTTAATATTTTTTCCATCGATGTAGTATTGCAAAGTGATATTTGTCTCTTCTTTTGTGATTCATCCTGTAAGGGTCCGCCAATTATCCATCCAAACACAGTTTTTTGAGCTAATAAGGTACCAATCGATTTCATAGGTGTTCCAACTGTAAAGATGAGTGGGCCTATGTCCATCCCTATTAGGAGATCAACTGGTTGGCTGATGTAGAACTTCGGGTCGGCTAATTCCAAGTTCGTAGCGTCATGCATCTGTGTTCTTTCAAGGGTATATGATGGCAAGTTTGACGGAAGTGATTTCAAAACAGGTGCCCAAACTTCTAACTTGAAATTTGGGTCAAGTCTGGAACGTAATTTAAATACGCAAGCTTTAGCCGAAGTTTCAGAAATGAGTCGATTAATTCCTGTAACATGCACTAGGTTTCGTTTAGTGGGCAACCTTAAACGATTCTTTAATTTCTCAGTAACAAAGGTAGATTGTGATCCAGAGTCGATTATAGCTCGTGCGTCGTAATAATGACCATTCGCTTCGATTTGAACCATGGCTGTAAAAAGTAGGGTGTCTCCTGGACGAGGATTAACTTTACCGTCATCCTGTAGTGTCAAAGTTGTTATATTCGCTGTTTCTTCATTTGATGTGGACTGTATTAGTGTTTTGAGAGCGGCAGCACTGGTGCTAGGGCGTGCTTCCTCTTGTGCTGTAGTTCCCTTATGTAACATAGTATGGTGCTTCAAATTACATGTTCTGCATCCAAAACGACTTTTGCAATCTTTCACGCCATGGTTAGACGATAAACAATTGTAGCACAGGTGTGCCATTTTGACCACATGAATCCGGTCATTTACGTTTTTAGCGATAAATTGTGGACAATCTCGTATGAAATGATTAGATTTGCAAATTTGGCACGTATTTTGGTACTGAGTCTGGGATTGCTGCTGAATGTTTGCATTTTTACCCTTGTAATTTTGGGCTTTCTGGTTAATATTTGCTTGAAAACTGCTTGTAAATCTCATTTTCTTTGTATAATCGTTTCTGCTCTGAGTCTGCTGATTTGGTTTTGACAAGTTTGGTTTTATGTTCCCTACTGATTCAAGCGTTTTGAATTTGTGGGTCAAAAAATTGTTAAAAGCTTTCCACGATGGTAGAGTCTTGCAATCTTCTATAGTATTTTCGAATTCTTCTAAAAAAGTTCTTGGAAGTTTGCTGGAACAAAGATATATTAATATAGGATCCCAGCCTGCTACTTCAACATTTTGTGTCTCCAAAATTTGAATGCAGCTATTTACTGTTCGCTGTAATTTCTGTATGCTGTAACTCGAATCAGTTGAAACGTTTGGTAAATTAAATAATATTTTTAATTGCTCGTTCACCTGCATTCTCTTATTCTCGTATCTGTCGGTTAAATTCCTCCAGGCTAACTCAAATCCCTCGTTTGTTAGAGGAACATGGCTTATAACTTCTCTAGCTTCACCAGTTGTTTTCTGAGTCAAATGAAAAAGTTTTTCAACAAGTTTTTCAATTTGGAGTTCTGGATGTAAATGGCGGTAAATAAATCCCGAAAAGTTGGCCAAGTATTGTAACTTCTTTCGAAAGTATCCGTGTCGCAGGGTGGTAATCTCGAAGGTGGGGTAAATTCAGTTTCCTTTTGAGAAAATTGGGTCTCGATTCTGAGTTTCTCCTTTGCTTCATTTTCTTTGAGATTTTGGATTTGTCCATTGACTATTCCTATCGCCTTTTTGTAAGTGTCGATTGCCTCTAAGTAGTGGGTCCTCAGTTTAGTTTTATCAACCGGTTTTTCTCCTTCCTCTGGAATAAAATCTCGGCATTCTAAATACGCCTTTTTTACTTGGTCATAAAATGAATTTAGCTCCACTCTCGATGCCTCCAATGTGTGTATGTCGTCATCTGTGCCTGCGATGCTCACAATTGATGCGTAATCCTTCAGATCATTCACGCAATTTGCAAATTTCTCACGGTTGAGTTTAGACATCTTTGTTGTATCAAGGGCCAGACTTTAGAACAAATTTTTGTATGACAAGAATTTGACAAAATTGGCCGATTAAGAGGACAGATCTTTGTTGTATTTGGATACAAACAAATCAATGATTTTTCTTGGCAAAACCTTGAATGTTACTTTCCAAATATAATTTTAACGACAAGTGATTTTTAATTGGGAATCGCACTTTCGAATGCGGAAATTTTACAATACTTGCTAGCAAGAGGTCAGAAAAATATTAAAAATTTCGACGAAATAAATTGAGAATCAAAGTTCGGCAAATCAATAAGCATTTATATTATTATTTCTGAAAATAGTAAGTATTGCGTAGAAGGGTCAGTCAAATCGACGATATAATGGCCAGATTCAAACAAAATATCCGTTTTTACTATTTAAAAATTTTCAAAACATAATCGCAGAAAAAATGTGTGCTGGGTTGTCACGAAAAAGTACCAATTTTCAAAGAGAAAAATCAAAAAATTTACAATAAAATCGCTGAATTCCAATTCTAGGAAGGTTTTATTTTGTGTAGAAACAAAATTTTTTAATAAAAGAGTTAACCAAAAGGGATTTACATGTATTGGAGTTTCCCAGCAAACTGTTTGACAACAAAAAAATTTGGGTCAAAAAATTTAATTTTTTTTTGCAAGCGAGGGCTCACTTTTTCAGCAAATTCAATTGGAAATCATCCAAATATAAAAAACTTTTAAATATTTGTCTGAGTCAACAAATACTCTATAAACGCTAGATTTGGATAAATAATTTTTTTGACAATTTCTTCTTCCAAGTTTCTTCAAAAATTGTAATTCCACAGAATTGTGATATATTTAGTAATTTATGCGGCAAATAAGTTTCCAAATTGTTTAAAATTTTAGATATATTTTTTCTTTCATAAAAAGAAATATTGTGGGTCGCAGATTAGATTATCGCAGCACCGATTTTTTAGAATATTATAGAGAATCAGCAAATATTTTTTGGGTCAAGTGCCAGCCGTTCACCAGAATAAAAATTCCAAAACGTTTCCAAAAATATTTAAAAAATTGTTTAAAAAATATATTTTTTTTTGAGACTTCGACAAAAATGACTTATCCTTAAAAACTGTTGAGTCAGAAATCGTATCTTAAGTTTTCAAATTTGTTCATTCAATCAAAATTCCAAAAGGTAGATAATTTTGTCGAAAATCCAAAAAAAAAAAAATACGCATAAATGTAAAAGTGTCTCTCCAGAAATTTTTCTATGTACCTCAAGATGAAATGTATGATTTAAAAGTGATATGGATTTTTTCCAAAAATTTTGAGAAAAAATACCAGAAAAGATAAGACGATGTATTCACAGCCTCATAAGTAATTATGTTCATATGTAAGATTAAAAAATTTGACTTTGCAATTTTTAAGGTTAGTTAACCTTAAAAATGTTGGTGCTTTTCCGCCAAAAAAAGTTTATGATAACTTCTTGTATGTTTAAAAGACAGGTCTTATTTCCAAGAATTCCCAAAATAACTTTTTCTCAAAATGGCGTTTATAATTATTTAGTAATATTCCGATGTGTCTGTGTTGATGCAAAATATTTCTTGTGGATGTATGTATGTGTCAGGGGGTCACCACAATTTTTCAAAAGAAAATTTCCACACAAAATATGTACGATAGCAAGGTTATTTGTATTGGTAAATTATGACGCCAAAAAATTGCGCCATAATATTCCACGTAGTTTTCGTGTTGTTTTTGGTATGTAAAATATTTAGCAAAATGTCTGATAATTTTTCTAAGTTGTTGTACCGCAATTATGACGCCATAATTTGTGCCAAAATTGGTTTCCAAAGATCGCAAGTTAAATGTAAATGGATTATTCCACAAAACGAGAGGGCAAGTTTCCAAAAAACAAGCATTGATTTTTCCAAAACATGTAAATAAATAAGTTTTTTTTTTTCAAAATGGCCCCAAAATTTTATATTTAATAAGGGTGTGTTGATTTGTCAAAGGTCCCACTGTAAACGGACAGACAAATATGTTTCAAAAGAGAGTCTTAACTTTCCAGCTTTCCACAAAACGACGGAGAGAAATTCCAAGTTTTCCATAAAATGTTCTCAATTTACCAATTTACGGGTTAGTTTCCATAATTTGGAAACTATTTTCCACAATTTCCAACTATTTTTTGAGAGAAATCTAGATGTTTGTGTGTATGTGTAAATAAGGACGTATTTGTGTATTCCCCAGGTCTAAATAAAGGGTCAACATCAGACCAAGATCCCAAATAACCCTGAGTTTGGGTCAATTGTGTCAATGGGTGTCAAATTATATGTAGAAAACAGCGTTTCTATCATCTAAAGGCACAGTGTCGGTGTCAAATTTAGCCGCACACTGCAATCCTTTCTCGATTCCACGCTCAAAAGCACAAAAAAATGTCATTCGTACTCACTTTGCCTCTCTTTGTAAAGTTGGGAATGTGTTGTGTTACCCCTCGGTTCTTGTTCTTCCTTCTGTTGAGTCTGGGTTGTTTTGTTGGTTTTTGTTTGTTATACCCGAACCGTTGTGTCTTTTTAATTGTCGTTTTGCTTGCTGCTTGTTATTTTTCTGTGGATATAATAAATTTATTATTCACTATTTTTATTATTATTATTATTTTTTAATTATAAAATTAATAAATTTTATATATTTTTTCTGTTTGGACCCACAGTGGTTTATTTTTTTTCTTTTTAATTTTTCCACTGGTCTCTCATTCGTACATTGTTGCTTTATCACTATTGCTTTCCACTGATCACTGTTCTGTATTCGTATGCACGTGTGTGTGTTTTGCCAGGGTCTACTGTTTTGTTGAAACACTTATTTTTTGTTCTTTTTTGGATGTCTTTTTTTTTTTATTCCACTTTGTTTTTTGTTATAACACTTTTGTTGAATGTATTTTCATTTTTTGATTTATTGTTCACTCACTGTTTGCTTTGATTTCTTTTTGTTGGTCAATTTTTATTGTTCACTTATGAGTACCGTTCACGTATGAGTTAGTTCACTTTTATGAAATTGTTATATTGTAATTTAATTTCACTTCACTTGCACTTTTTTTAATTTATTTATTAAAAAACACAATCTGGCTCGTCAAGGACCAAATGTTTTTGACTTTACCTTTAACCTTTTTGTATAATTTATTGGATTGGATTTGTAATTTTATTTCATGTGTTGTTTTATTGGTATTCAATTCTTTGTTGTTTGTGTGTATGTACAATTGTTTCATTCGTTTAATGTATAATTTTTGTTTGTTGTAAATTGATTTGTCTAATTTAGAATTTATTTTATGTTAATTATGTACAATTTTGTAATTCAATTTGTTTGGTGTTTGTACAATGTTAATGTTGTTTTTTTTATAATGTAATGTTGTGTAATGTAATTTTAAAAAATAAAATAAAATGTCACTTCTTTCTTCACTGGGCACTTGTCGATGATTTTCGCGGGCACTTGTCGCTTCACGGGGCACTCGATGATTTTTATGTTGTCGCTCTCAAGATGGTTGACGAACTGTCCGGGAATATTCTGGCTTTGGGCTGCCAGAGCTGTTGAATATTCCAGGATTTATTGGAAAGTGCTTGGCTAGCGGCAGCACGTATGCATGTATTTGTTAATATGCACCAATGCACATATTGTGTACCGCTAGCCGAAAAATTTAAAATTCAAACGCACAGTAGCGACCAAAAGTATGGTCACTGACCATACAGTACTCACAAGGAACTCCGAGTGTGGATTTTCAGACAATACGATTGGAAAATGTGGGTAAAATCATTAAAATACCGAATATCGGGGGGTACCGTTACATGGGGGCTACACGATATCGTGGACCGATATAGCCCATCTTCGAACTTGACCTGCCTGCAGATAAAAGAGAGATCTGTGCAAAATTTTAGCTTCCTATCTTAATTCGTTTAGACTGTAGCGTGATTACAACAGACGGACAGACGGACGGACAGGGCTAAATCGTCTTAGAATTTTACGCTGATCAAGAATATATATACTTTGTTGGGTCTAAAATGATTATTTCGATTAGTTACAAACGGAATGACGAACTTAATATACCCTCCATACCTTTTTTGGTGGAGGGTATAAAAAATATATATATATATATATATATATATATATTGATATACAAATTCAATTCCCACCGACTTTCGTATCCGCAAGCAATGACTCACATTGACTAACGTTATAAGAAAAACCAGCCATCAGAATTCAAAATCTTAATTTTTTTGACTACTTTAAGGCGACGCAGTTTCTTGCAAATAAATTTTAAATGCGATGCAGCAATGATAGTATAGAGTATACCTTAATACTCTGTTATTTGAAGCAACACCTTGGACACCAGGTAGATCGCAGATTCGAAGATTACGAGTTTTAAAATATTCTCTCATCAGGCTATCACGTAACGCAGCTTTGTTAAATTTAACAAGAATCTGTTTCCTACGATTATTATAATACACATGATTGATTTTTTGGCTGGTTATAGGTATGTAATAGTTATGATGCAATAACAGGCAACTCCAAATCATCCAAACCTTCAGGCAACCCTCCTATGATGATGTCAGGCCGGTTCATCTGTTTATGCATTACATTGTCTTCCCGCTCAAGCGCAACAAACTTCATAGCATAGAAGCTCCAATCTGCTGCACATTGTCGTTACATTGCCCGATGCCAGTTCTCATTTCAGCAATGCATGAACTCGCTTCCTTCTTTATGTCATCCAAAACAACTTTAAGACTATTCTTCTGCGTATGGTAACTAACAATAAAGTTATCTAATTTAGCAATCAGACTAATAATTTTGTCAGCGGCACCATCAGACTAATAATTTTGTCATCGGCACCATCAGAAGTAGAGTTGTTGCATGAATTTGGCTCACATGAAGGGCAAATGTAAACAAACTATTTTACTGACTTCAATACATTCAAGTTCTTCTCATCAATGTTTACACAAACAGTATTAATCTAGCAGTTGCCAGATTTACAAAGAACACTAGGCTGTCTTCATGACATTATATTTGCAAATTTTACATTTGGCAGCTGGCAAACTGAGGTTGCGTACTGGGAGATTTATAAATCGGCTTTCAACAGGTACTACAGTGAGATCAAGAAGGCCAAAATATCATAATTGGCGGGCTTTACTGAGTCTATAGAAGAAGAAGTCAATGAAGCTTCTAGATTTCGTAAAGTTCTTTCAAAGGACCCCAAATCCATTAGCTGTATAAAACGAAATGATGGAAGCTGGACTGTCTCTTGTATATAGACTATTAGAATCTGTTAGACAGCACTCACTTTCCAAACTGCGCAGATGTGAGAAATGAACGATCTACAGAGCGACGTGATCAGCACTGTGAGGCAGAGGAGATGAGTCTGATTGATAGGATTGTGAGAACCTCCAAAATCCCGGATCGGACGGCATAATTCCCGCCATGTTACAGCATGCATCGGCGGTAATAGTACCAACGCTGCAAGTGATTTTTAAGGCTTGTCTGCATTTCTCTCACATTCCATCACTGTATAGGGCTGTTACAACGATACATGTTCCCAAGGCGGGGAAACCCCGTCACGTACTTCCAAAAGACTACAGGCCTATCAGTTCTTCGTTCTTTCTACTGAAAACTCTGGAGAGACTAATAGATATTGAGATCAGATCTCTATTACCTTTGACTTCGATAAGCACTGCTCAACATACCTGTATAAAAGGAAAATCTGTTGAAATGTCACACTTGAGGCAATTTATGGTTCCCTTTCAAAACCTAGTTTACTACCACTCTTAATTCAATGGATAAATGTTATGCTCAGTAGCAGTAGCAGCAGAATCATCAACTCATGCTTCGGGGAGGGATCTGTCAGAAAATCGGTTACTGGAAACACCCCACAAAGAGGGGTTTTATCGCCATTGCTCTGGCTTTTGATGATAAACGTCATACTAAAAATCTGGAGCTTGACGGAACAAAAATGGTGACTTACGCTGACGACGCTGATTGTGCGTAAATTCCTGCAAACTGTTTCAGATCTCATGCAGGGACGACACAACGGGCTAGGCGTAAACCCATCTAAAGCTGAGTTCGTACTTTTTACAAGATAACGGAAAATTCCCGATTTTTCGCTACCTATGCTGGATGGAGTTAGGTTAAGCCTATCAACGGCAAAACAACTAAATTAGAAAAGGTATATCGAGGAGCGAGCGAAGAGAGACTTAATCGCACTCTACTCTTACAGAAACTCCATATGGAAGAGCTGGGGCTTAAGCCACATATAATCAAATTGATATATGAATCAATAGTTCGGCCAATTCTAACTTACGGAGCGCTAGTATGATGGACATTTTTATTTAAAACCACCTTCAACAAAAGCATTGATAAAGTGAAAAGAGGAACATCCTTTCTAATTGCGGGTGCGTTTAAGACCCTACTACTACTACTTTTAAGTCTCTTTGTAGAGGAACAAGCTGGTAGATGTGCCATGCGGCTCAATTACTAGGTCAAAAGCGGAGTCCGTACTTCGGACTCTCTGTCATTCTTATGTATGTGGAGAACATTGGAGGTCGGCAATAAAAAGTGTTTATATGTAACATAGGCAAAGTTTCGAATCACTGGACATCCAAATACCTATACTGGACACCTGGACTCACCTTTTAACGGTATAACCGTCTATACCAATGGTTTAAAGATGGAAAGTGGACGGGGTTGGGGTCTTTTGCGAATACTTAAAAATCCTTTAATTTAAACAACGACCGCAGCCTTTTTAGGCAGAAATCTTTGCTACTGGGAACACCATTTAGCTGTCGGTAAGGACCTTAATTCTTTTACAAGCAAACCTATGACTGTTGTGGAATGCAGAAATGCTCTGGTAAAGTTTAAATCGTTGGTAAAACTTTGTTGGAAACATATCTGGCAATGAATTGACCTGACACGGATCTGAGTCAGTAGATTTAGAGATCGACAGCTCAGTGAAGTCTCCGTTATGCCACTCCTTCCAAGTTTTAAATAAGCACCATTAAACACTCTTAACTGGTTGAGTGGATGTAATTACGGGATACTGTAACATAAAGGTCATGACTTCAAAGGGGGGGAGTGATGTCGATGACAAGGAGGAACTCGAGATGGTGGAGCACTCTCTCCATGGAGTTAGTCAGAGGCTACTGGATACTCTTTCGCTTATGTACAAGATGTCTACAAAATGTGATAAATAAATTTTTGTACTACATTCGTTAATCATTCCAAATTTCATTGGAATCAAACATACATATAGTGTGTGGTGCATCAAATACATGAAATAGGCCGAAAATATTTATGGGAGCTATATATAGTTATAACTCAATCTGAAGCGATTTCAATAAACTGTAATAAATTATTCTTTGTACCAAATTCCGTAACTTTTTTTATTTTTTATTTTAAGTTATTGCATTATTTTTACAAAATAATCAGAGGTGGTGTTCCTAGGTTTCTGGCTAACATGTTCACGTTTTCCAGGTCAACTAGGAGTACTCAGATATTAATACCCAGAATACATTACTTAACATATGAAAAGTCTTTTATTGTACGTATTGCACGTTTGTGGAATTATCTACCTATTGACCTTAGAATTATTTCCCATTCTAATAATGCCTTTCATTTGTATGGAATAATGTCCTTCATTATGGTATTTTTCTCAATTAGTTTTATTTTTGTTGTGTTGAGCTTTTATTATATTCATTTTACTCTTTTTTTAATGGTTTATTTTTTTGTTATTAAAATTAGTACAATATAATCTACGAATAATAGCAAAAACTCTTCTCCGAACGGAATCAATACGAGTCTCATCTACCAAAATACCCAACATTCTACTACAGCTTACAAAACTAATTAGATTACCATCGAGGGCAATATTTAGATTATATGCATGACTGCCAAACTTAATGTCCTTTGTCTTTGATTCAATACCAGAGAATTTCAAAACACCACCGTCCAACATAAATAAGACAATTATTAATTTCACTTTCAAAAGCGATAGGATTAATATTAGAATTTGTAAAAACGAGAAAAACATCATCCGCATATAAGAGAGGAGTGCAATTTACACCGTAACAACACTCAGAGAGGCTATTGACAAATGAAATGAAAAACAATGGGCCTAATACAGAGCCCTGCGGAACACCACACGAAAGCAATGCCACACTTGAAGATCTACCATTGTAATAAACGAATTGGGATCTACGAACAAATATGATAGAATAAAGTTACAAGCTGCCTCAGAAAAATCGAACTCATACATCAGTTTACTGAGTAATATATGATGAGAATGAGAATCAAATGACCTTGTTAAATCCAAGGAAGTAATGACAGTATCCTTTTTAAGACTAGAGTTAGATCTCACTAACTTAGTTAAGTAAAGAAGCAAACTGGTGGTATGATTCCTACGGAACGCAAATTGATCGTTATATATTTTGCTTGGTCCTTCATAACATGCTCACACACCTTAGCCATCACAGGGAGAACTGATATAGGCCTGAAATTATCAGGGCCATAAACAACATTCCTCTTTGGAATTGGAACGACGAGGGTTTGCTTCCACAAACAAGGAAACACAGACGACACCAAAACAGAATTGGGCAAATCCAAAACAATATCACACACTTATGGAAAGATGCATTTCAAAAAATCCACAGGTATTCTATAAACTCCGACAGATTTAGACTTTATTTTGTTTAGTGCAAT